CGCGGGCTTCAGTAGTTGTGGCTCGTGGGCTCTAGAGCACACAGTCTTTGTTTTAAAATTTTTTATTACCAGGTATGAAAACTTAAAAGTCTTCTAAATATTTCTGAAAGCAAAATGAATGTGTATTGTTTACCTACATGGACACACCCACTGTCTTAGTTTGGGTCGCTATAACATTTTATCACAGACTTGTGTTGTGGCTTGTTGTGGCTTAAACAACAGAAAATGATTTCTCACAGTTCTGCTGGCTAGAAGTCCAAGGTCAAGGTGCTGGCTGATTTGGTGTCTAGTGAGGATTGTCTTTCTGATCTGGCTTCTTGTGGTGTCCTCACATGGTAGGGAGAGGGATCAACTCTCTTGCAGTGTCTCTTCTTATAAGGGCACTAATCCCATTCATGTGGGCTCCACCCTCATGACCTAATCACCCCACAAAGATCTCACCTCTAAATACCATCACGTTGGGGATTAGGGCTTCAAACTATAGATTTGGGGTGGATACCCTCACTCCATAGCACTCACTAACACTTCTGGGGTATTTCGTACATGCTTAGCACATTGTACCAAGCATTGTAAGAATGCAGATTTGCTATGACCCTGTAAAGTATTTGTGGTTATGGCAAGCTCACAACTAGCTCTCATACTGGGTAGGCTATGGCATTTTCAGAAAAGTGTAAAGTGTAATGGGGTTTCAGAGGAGGTCATATCTGGTGTGTGTTTATTTACAGGGACGGTGGACTTGGAGTGAAATAGACCTTCACGAGGGAGGTAGCATTTATTTGAAAAGATGGGGGTAGGATTCTGACGGGCAGAAACGGGAGCAGGAAGGTGATTGGAAATTTGAGGAGTAAAGGGTGGAGGGTAGGAAATCACAGGAAGCTGTGAAAAGGTAAGCACTGGAGGATGAGTTTAGGAAGGTAGGTGTTGGGGACCACCTAGTGGAGAGGACTCAATGGCAGATCAAAGACTATAGGGGCTGTGGCGGTTACTGAAGGTGTTTGAGCAGAGGAATGACACAAACTGGACCTGTGCTTCAGGATGAATAACACGGCAGTGTGTGATGTACGGGATAGATTGGCAAGGACATCAGTTAGGAGATGATGATGGCAGACCAGGAGAGACAGGATGAAGTCCTCCTCTGAGAAAGGGCAGTGAAAAGAGGAGATGTATAGCCAGAGTTACCGTGGAAACAGAATCCGCAGGATATGGACACCAGTGGCTGCTGGGTGGTGCGACAGAATCGTAGGACTTCAAAATTCTCATTTTAAACAATAATAACTGTTATGCATGTGTAGGCAGTTTCGTTCTCATAAAGCCTTCTGGTTGACAGAATGCTCAACAGACAAATTCTGCTCTATTAACGATGCCTTTTCAAAAGCTATGTCTTTCATTCAGCCTAAGGTAAGCCATGTGTGGAGCAGGATGGATGGGGGTGAGATGGGGAGCAGGGCTCATGTTCTGTTTTAAGCTGTCCAACCCTGCACCCTAGAGGTTAGACATTTGTTGTTAACTTGTTAGAAAAATTCAAAAACCTGACAGGAGGACCAGAAGTCGGAACTGTCCTTAGGACTTAAAAATGCCACACACGGGCTTCCCTGGTGGCGCAGTGGTTGAGAGTCTGCCTGCCGATGCAGGGGACGCGGGTTCGTGCCCCGGTCCGGGAAGATCCCACATGCAGCGGAGCGGCTGGGCCCGTGAGCCATGGCCGCTGAGCCTGCGCGTCCGGAGCCTGTGCTCCGCAACGGGAGAGACCACAACAGTGAGACGCCCGCGTACCGCAAAAAAAAAAAAAAAAAAAAAAGTGCCACTCACACCCCCTTCCACAGTAAGCCTTAATGTTTTCATAAGATCTTGACACTGACTTTTTTTCATCAGTTTTACAAGAATTTCTGCCAAGATGGTGGATGGGGTGGAGAAACGTGTTGGTGAGAATTTTAAGTACTGCAGTTCCAGTAGCCCTGTGATATCTCTATGGAGTTTTAAGATCAAAGGCTGCTTCTGGCTGGACGTGCAGTGGCCTGTGAGAGGCGCTCAGGTAGGTGGAGGAAAGAGGTTTCCCCTTTGATGGGGGTGTTCTTCTAACCGAGACCCTAGATCCAGAGCTCAGCTACCAGCAGGCAGTTTTAGGAGAGATAGTAGCCATTTGAGTTCATTATTTCTCTTTTTGTGGCAGTAGAATTTTCTGTACGGAAATGAGACCTCCGACACTCTTGGCATAGAAACATTAAATTAGGAATCTATCCATGAAGACTTCTCTAAATTTAATTAAGTGACCATCTCCAGGGATTGAGCAGTATGTAGAGTAATAAACCCATCACACAGAACAGCTGAAGACGTGGATTTTAGTGCAAATTTGTTACCATTATAACAAGATTCTAGTGTTATATGAAAGCATTCAGAAGTGAATATTTTTTTATCTTAACATAAAATAAAAGTGCATTTATTTGCATAAATAAAGCTGGACTCTGCATTCTTACCAAATAAATATGGCATAAGGATGACTCAGAGACACCCTGAGTCATGAAAGCTTTGTAAAGCTCCATGTAGAAATGAATAGTTTTGAAGAAATATTTGATAGCATTTTTTGTCTTGATATTGTGACTCTGAGCTAGGCAAACAGGAATTAAAATGTGTTTCCTGAGTTCAAGTGAAGGTAGCAAATTAACACGGACCTTTTGGGTTTCTCTTACTATTGGGGGAGAGGCTACTGAAGAGAAAGGGCTCTTTCTGTCTCGTGATGGGAACCTTCTGGGACAAATTCTACACTGTGTTCTGTGACTACGTTGGAGATATTCAACAAAGCATATCAGCTTCTAAGAATTCCTGTTGAATCTCTTAGGGCTTTCCCTAGGAGCTCTCTGATACTTGGGGGCAGAAGGAGCTTATGGAGGGTAAGGGAGTTATAACGCATCCTACAAATCTTGGAAGTCAACTTCACACTATTCAGTCCATACAGACCTGCCCACTGCCTTACAGAGAGGAATCTCCATTAATGGTGGGGTAGTGAAGGGGTGTGTGTGTGTCTGTGTGTGTAACTGGCATATTTTCAAGAGACGTAATACAATTCCATTTTACATTTTGTGGATTTGATTACAATAAACAATGGAAGTTTATTTTGTTTTGATGTTGTGCTGTCTTCTTTAAGGATCCTGCATCCTTTCTGTGACAGGTATATTTATTTAGTGACAGCTTGGAAAATTTTAAAGATTTGCCAGATATTTTTTTGGAAAGAACTGCCTTAATACCTTCCCTCCCTAAGAGGGAGGGAATTCCTTTATAAGAGAGGAACTTCTGAGCTCATTTTGTAGATGATGAAACCTAATTAACTGAGGCACTAAGTTAGCGCACCCCCCTAGTGACATCAGTGGCAGAAAGAGCTCAGCTTGGGGGCTCTAGGGTGAGATCTGGATGCAAGTCCTGGCTTTGCCCCTTCCTACCTGTCACCTTGGGCAGGTCTTCCATGTTTCTGAGCCTCAGCTACCTCGTGTGTGAAATGGGGAAATAATAGATGAGAGAATGTATATGGGAGCCTAGAACCATATCTCATACCCAACTGGTGCTCAGTGAATATTAGTGGCCGTTTGCATCGTTATTATTAATAACAAGCCTGCTCCAAATTCCCGCGCTTGGATGGCACCTTGCTGCCGGTGTTGACTGCGCCTGCCTCTGGCCAGGACAGGGATGCTCGGCCGCTGATGTGGGCGATGGGCTTCAAATTCTAATCTCAGTCCTTCCCCTCTTATTCCAGTCTCCTTCTAGCTCCATGCACTTTCCTTTCTCTTTGGCTGCCCTTGGATCAGAGTAACCTGTACTGATGTGCTTGGACTTCAAGGTCCATTGCTGCTTTTTAGACAAGAACCTCATTCGGAGGATTGTATAATCAAGAGCCAGAAAGCAGTGCAGGCCGTGAAGCCATATAGACTGGGTCTGAAGCCTAGTTTCACATCCTGCGATCTGAGGATGTCTAGCCCAGGGAGCTAGCATAGCACAGTGATTTCAGGCTTGTGTCCTGGGGTAAAACTCTCTATGTTGAAATCCTTATTCCCTCGATATATTTCTTTAATCTCCCCCAGACTCAGTTCCCTCATCTGTATAATGGGGATACTGATTCCCACCTCACAAGGTTGTTGTGAGGACTGAAATGACAAAAGACATGGAACAATGTACCTACCATAAATATTAACTGTTACAGTAAGTCACTTACATACAAACCTTCAAGTTGCGAACTTTCAAAGATGCAAACGTGGAGCTTACTAATGAAGACCTGATGGAATTGGAGGCCCAGAGAAAGGACGAAGAGAGATGAGAGGAAGAAGTAACTGAAGAACCGAAGAGATTCACGATGTAGGAAATGGCAAGATTTTCTTTATTTGAGGAGAGGCACTGTTAGGTTTTGAGGCCCAGGACCTTAACGTAGAACGGTACACAAAGGTTGCAGCAGCCGTTCAGAAAGCAATCCGGTGCTACCGTGTCATCTATGATGAGAAAAATAGAGCTACTACCCAGACATCACTGGGTCATTTTTTTCAAGAAGGTAGACGTGTGCCATCAGCGTCAGGCGTGAGTGAAATGGCAGCTTGTCCCCCATCCCCGCCTCCTATTGCTGACGATCCTTCAGCTCTACCGTCTCCCACCTCCTCTCCCTCCTCCAGTCAGTCACTCTTCTTGCCTGTTCACTCGATGCCAGCCCCTGGATGCCAGCTGTTGTACTGTACTACTGTACTTTTCATGGTACAGTACTATAAGATTAAAAATGTTTTCTTTATCTTTTGTGTTTGTTTTTTTATGTATTATTTGTGTGAAAAGTATTATAAACCTATTACAGTGCAGTGCTATATAGCTGATTGTGTTAGTTGGGTACCTAGGCTAACTTTGGACTTACTTACGAATGTGCTCTCGGAATGGAACTCATTCGTATGTAGGGGACTTACTCTATTATCATCATAGGAACCCTGGCTCTGCCACATAGTACCTGTTTGTGATCTTGGGCAAGTGACTTAACCTCCCCAAGCCTCGGTTTTCTCATCTGGAGAATGGGGTTAATAATAATCTTTACCTCATAGGATTAGTATGAGGACTAGACAGTATTACGTGAAGTGCTCAGCTCAGAATTAATACGTACCCAATAAATATTTGCTCTTATTATTGCTATCACAGTATGACCATGAGTAAGTTATCTAATCACTCAGAGGCTCACCTGTACAATTGGAATAGTTATATCTGTCTCATAAAGATGGGAGGAACAGATGTAATAATGTACCTAACGGACATGATACACAGTAGATTCTCATGAAGGGAGCTATTTCATTATTTCCCCAAATTAGCCTTCATGCTGGAGAGCCTTTACTGGCTGAGGGCCTTCCGTGGTCAGCTTCATGCCTTCCACTCGCTGCCCAAGTTGAACCACATTCCCCACAGAATTGACAGGTTTCCAGAGTGGATTCTCTTCCAGGTATCACCATGCAATCCAATCCCCACCCGAATGGGGCCTACGTAATTGCTTCGCACACAGACATCCCTCCCAGGGCTCCAGTGGCAGCCTGGCCTGTGAGGCCACTGTATTTGATTTTTGTAGGTCAACAAACAAACATTTGAAATTAAATAAGCCTGTTAGTCATGGCAGGTTCAGGTTGCTGTAATTAGCTTCTGTCTGGCCTGCTGTAGCAGCAGCAGGCCCGTGCTTCTCACTGCCTGTACAGCAAGAATACACAGTTCCCAGAGCTCTGCGGGTGCTGTGGCTGGAAGCACTTGATGCTGATGCTTCAGGACAGATGCTGGCAAACGCCTCTTCCTGGGTCGGCAGTGGTGGTGAGTATGGGGCCTTTAATTTTTCAGGCTGTAGAGGGTCACTGAGCGAGCTATCAGGTGTAGCACTGGGAATACAAAGATGACCTAGACACATTTCTCTGATGGCAGGGAACTGGGATGGCGGTAGTGACAAGGATGGACACACAGAGGCCAGGAAGCAAACAAAGATTACATCTTTCTCACCGGCCCCAGGGCTGAAGCCCCTTCAGGTTCAGGCTGTTCTTTGGGTCTGGCTGGGGAGGTGGGGCTCATCCAGGTGTGCGTAAGGTGTGGTCCTGGGCCAGCTTACCTGTCAGTGCCCTAGTGCTCGCCTTGTGTTCCCTCTCGCTGCACGGGCCTAGCTCCTCTCCCTGCTCAGAAACTCTGAACCGTCTGAACCCCAGGTTGACCTTTCTTTCTTTCTATTTCGTGGAAATTTAGCACCTTTTAGATGGAATTATAGTCTCTGCATATCATTACCCTGCAATCTGCCAAACTGGTGATGCATTTTATCATAATGATAGCAATAATATTAATAATGATAAAAACACATTGCTTTGGTAAAGTTCTTTTGATTTTTCAGAGCAAATTGTATTTTTATCTCAGTTTCCCCCCCCAGAAGTTACTACATATACATAATTCATCACCTCCACCAGGCATTTATTGAGTATCAATCGTTTATCAGCTTTGATGCAAAGAAGCATAATATACAGTGCCCACCTACCCACCCTCCACCCTCTAAGGATGGAAAGTAAAAACATGAGCTTTGTAAACTTCCCTACTACTTAGTAGCTCTGTGACCTTTGGCATGTTATATAACCTCAGCTTTCATGCATGTAATATATGAATAATAATAGAACTTCATTCTTAGGATCTTTTTATGCATGAATCCTACATACAACTCTAGTAAATTTCAGCATTAAGTAGGCACCCAAAATGTGCTAAAGATTTTATAAGCATGATCTCATACACCTTACTACAGCTTGGCAGCCTAATTATTACTGCTCCCATCTTACAGGTGAGGAAACTGAGGCCTAGAGACTTTGTTAATATCACAAAGTTATTATGTGGAAAAGCTGGGATTCAAACCCAGATCTTGTCTAGATACCCATTCTTTGCGATACAGCCTCACTGGAGCTTATTAGACACTAAACTCAAGAAGTGGCACAGAGACTTCCCTGGTGGTGCAGTGGTTAAGACTCCACGTTCCCAATGCAGGGGGCTTGGGTTCGATCCCTGGTCAGGGAACTAGATCCCACATGCATGCCGCAACTAAGACTTCGCATGCCACAACTAAAGAGCCCGCATGCTGCAACTAAGGAGCCTGCGAGCCAAAACTAAGACCCAGCACAACCAAATAAATAAATAAATATTTTTTTAAAAGTCCTCATAAAAAAAAGTTGTACAAATGCTGAAAACTAGAGGATCACAGAGAAGCAGGCCCAAGAGACCAGTACCTAGTTATTTTGAACAAGTTCTTGGTTCTGCCGTATTTTACATTTTATGCATGTCTACTTTTAATAAGAAAAAACACCAGTGTACTATTCCTGAATAGTTTGTGTTTATATCAGTGTTTGCATGTAGTTAGACATTTTGCTTTCAGTTAGTGCTAGTGTGAGGTATTTTTATTCAAAGTTTTGCTCAATTATAAGGGGGCATTTTGTTTAAGTGGGAGTATGTTGGTGATAGCAAGGCCAAATATACTCTATGTGACTTTGTGACTCAATTTGGCATCAGTGCCCTCTGGTGGTAATTCTTGGAAATCATTCGCTTCTTACAGAGGCTAAGAACCAAAGAAAAAAATCTTGGATTTACCAAAGATCTTTCTGACATCTCTTGCTAAAATATTAACCAGTCAATCTTGAAATCCCTATTTTTTTATAAAAATATTTTTGTAAAGGTCCAAAACTGTAAGAAAGAGGTGACTCTTTACACAAACATTGGCGGCATTTGCGTTTAATGGTTTTCGGTGGTAAATATTTAAAAATCAACGATTTTGTGTTATATGAGTTAATGTCAAAGAAAGTGAATATAGCCTAAAGACTTCTACTTACTGCCTTTTCCACAGAGTCATTTTAAAGGATGTTGTATTGGAATAAACTTTTCATTTAGTTATGTATTTTTCTCTGTAAAATACACTTAGAAAAAAAAGACATCGAAGTCAGATTTCACTTGGGTTTGTTTGGAGTCATTGTTCCAAAGCCCTTGGTTGAAGGGTGGACATTCACTTTCCCTCAGATTCGCAGGAATCTAAGGGCAGAGTTGAAAGTAAATTAATTGTGTGTTTTTGGGGAGAGTCTTATTGAAATGTCCATATTTTCTCTCAGGTTCTCAAATGTGGCATTTAATTCTGCGGTCCACCGGACATCCTGAATGGTGTTCTTCTAAAAGAGGTTATATGAGCAGGTGCTACGGGCCAGCCATCGTGTCAGGTGTTTTACATCCTGTTTAATCTTCACAACAATCCTTTGAGGTCTGGATATACCCTCGTTTTCTATAAGAAAGACTCTCAGAGAACTTAAGTAACTTGCTACTCAGCTGTTAAGTGGCAGACCTGGGGTTCAACCTTAAGTCTCTGACCTCTCAGTTTATGGCTTTGCCTTCTTCCTGTGCAGGACTCCAAATGCTGGGTGTGTTCACATGCAGCTCAAACCCCAAACTGCAAGTGTATGCTTAGCTGTGTGTTATTTTCCCTCAGGCGAGAGTAGCGGCGAGGCTAATGTGTTTGTATAAACAGTCTTGGATGACACGTGAAAATACCACCTCTACAGAGCCATAGGCAACAGAAAGCTCTGCTTTGCCCCTTACCAATAAGTTAAGAGTAAAAAAACCCCAACGACCTGCACTCATGCACTCATGACAGTGAGATTTGCACAAAGCCATACCTGTGCAGCCTGGGGCAGCTCCTTTACATGAAGTAGCCACCTCTAGGCACAAGTTAGAATCCCTGAAATGGACACTGCCCTCAAGCAACACTCACATCTCACCCAGTCCCTCTCCTGGTCCCTGACTTTGCCATTCATTTGCTCATCATGGGCTAACCCTGTTCCTGAGATGTGATACACTTTGTACTTTCTTAATGACGTTAGCTCCCAATGCCTTTCTGCCTCCCTTACTTGGAAAAAGTACTTTGTAAAAATATTTACAATCCTAATCTTCTCACTCGCTGATACACTGTTGGCAGGAGGGTAAATCGACTCTTTGGAGGGCAATTTGGCAGGGGCTATTTTGCAATTTCACCTCCAGGAATAATTTATTCTATATAACCAGTCATGCACATGTTCAAAGATACATTTATAGGGAATATTCATTGCAGCATTGTTCGTAAAAACAAAAAACAAACAAAAAAACCCCTACAACTAAAACAAAAACAAAAAAGGAGCTGCAGCTGCAGATGGCTTGAGAGGTGGGGAATTTTGCCGCTTCTGGTTTCCAGTCACCCCAGCTTCTTGAAAAACTGAGTTGAGTATGGGTGTTGGGTGGGGGTGGGTAGGACCGGAGTGGCTTAATGAACAAGTGAAGCTGCCACATCACTACCATCAGGACCACTCTTCCTCAAGACAGCCTCATGCCTCACCCTCTCATCTCCTAGTCTGCTCAGAAGTCACCTTCTCAGGGAGGCCTCACCTGACCATCCTGTTTTAAATTGCACTCCAAATTTCCCTTACTTTTCTCTTCCCTGCCCCCCAACAGTGATCACTACAAAATTTACTTAATTTTTTATGTTTATTTCCTACCTCCCTTCAAAGCCTCCTTCTTGCATCCTAGAAGGTAAATTCTATGAGCAAGCACAGTGTTTTTGTCTTTGTTCATTGAGAAACACCCAGTGCCTAGAACAGTGCCTAACACAAGGAGTATTCTATAAGTATCAGTTGAATGAATGAACTGTCAGTGGTAAGGGACTTGGGATCCTTTGGTCATGGAATGTTGCCCAGATACACAGAAACCATTTCTGAAGCATTTCCAAAGATTTACTCTGTTTCTCCTCCTTACACTCCCAAATCCCTATGATTTAGATCTTGGCATTCAGCCCAGGAGATATGATCACTGAAAAAAGTTGAGTGAAGCAGTAAAGAGCATGGGTTTGGAGTCACATAGACCCACGTTGGAATCTAAGCCTTTCCCAATACCAGCTGTGTGACTCTGGGGAAATTATCTTCTCTAACACTGAGAATGAAATGTATGTGTGAATGCATGAAGCCTGACATATCGTTGCCATTAATAAGTTGTAGCTCATACCGTCAGCGATGGAGACGGATGAAAGAAATGGAGCACTGAATCTTAAAAAGGTAGTTTCCTGGGCTTCCCTGGTGGCGCAGTGGTTGAGAGTCCGCCTGCCGATGCAGGGGACGCGGGTTCGTGACCCGGTCCGGGAGAATCCCACATGCCGCGGAGCGGCTGGGCCCGTGAGCCATGGCCGCTGATCCTGCCCGTCCGGAGTCCGCAACGGGAGAGGCCTCAACAGAGAGACGCCCGCGTACCGCAAAAAAAAAAAAAAAAGAAAAAGGTAGTTTCCCTCTTCATAGTCATTTAAGCTGCCTTCGATTAAACTATCTAGTTAATTTTAAAATATCAAGAGATTTTAGTAGATTCCAGGTTTGTCCTTCAATAAATAAAAAACATTTTTAAGCCGAAATAAGCACAGGGTCTTGGAGTCAGGCAATGTCTTTGAGCCTCGGATCTCCCCTCCAGGAAGGTGGGTAGAAACCACAGGGGCATCTCACGCCTGGGAAGCAGCACGAGGAACCAGGCAGGGGATTCGCACAGATCTAACATCTGGAGCCAGGTTACCAGTGCGGGTGGTGAAGAACAAAATGCAAAACCTGTGGGTTCAGCTGAGGCGACCAAGGCAGAAAGAGTCTGAGAAAGCGGGTGACAAGCGAGCCAGAACAAAAGCCCAGGCAGGTGGCTGTGGTAGCTTTTTATGTAGAGCCCATGACCCCAGGCAGAGACAGGAGATGGGAGACGGGAGCTTAGGGCTACCGGGGCCGACCTTCCAGTACTAACCGCACGTCCTCAACAGCCCAGACTGGGGCTCCGGGGTTGCCTCCCCCTCCTCCTGATTTGATGCCCGCTCCATTGCTTGGCTTCTTCCCTATCCTTCTTCCCCCCTCTCCCTTACTGCTTTCTTCTGGGAGCATTTCCTTTAAAAAGCACTTGCACCTGAATCATCAACTCAGAGTCTGCTTCTGGGAGAGCTCAACCCAAGACAGAAGGCTTTTCACTCCAGTTTTCAACAACTCAGGAAAGGATTCTGATTGGCCAGCTAAGGTCATAGGCCCGCCCCAGGCCTTCGATTGGCAGCTCCTCCTTCACTCCGGCTCCTTCCGCGACAGCCCTGTGATCTGATCTAGAAGGCCCCCATAGATCGAGGCCCTTACGTGACAAGCATTGAACCAGGCACTAAGGCTGCAAACCGTCCCCATTCTCCTAGGTTTACAGTCAAGCGGGAGAGAACCACTAGTCAAAGCGTTTCACAATCACACGTTTACAAGCTGCGGACAGTGTTAGGAAGGAAAAGCAGCGGGAGCAGTAAGTGGGAGGGGCGCGGTAGAGGAAGTGCCCTGCCCGCTGGCTGCCGGGTGGAGAGTGGGTAGTAAAGAGGGGAAGGAGTGGAAGCCGTGGCAGGGGAGCAGGTGAGGGGTGATGGTGGCTTGATTAGAGTGGTGGCCCTGGAGTTGGGGCGAAGTGGAAAAAAACTCAGGAACCCTCTAAGGATCTAACTTATTGCCATGGAACATGGATCTCATCCTCACCAAGCCCCTGTCATTGCCCTAAGGTGAATGAAAAAAACAAAACAAAAGCTACATTGCACTTGGCTAACTTTCAGAAACTTTAGGAGAAGCAAAAGAAAACTGAGTAGTACCTTCTAGTCTAAAGAGTCATCTTATTTGATTACACCCCGCCTCCCCCCCCCCCTTATTTTCAACAAATGCATCCATCTCCTGTTTGGAACTTTTAATAGAGAATAATTTTTTGGCTTTTGAAAAATATTGCCTAAATAAATGTCACACCTTGGCATTTTCCCGTATTTTCATTTCATTTCATTGTCTTCCTTTGGGGTGGGAGTGGGGAGGGTCTCTAAGGGATAATCTGACCTGTGAATCTGATCTGTGTTCCTGACTCTGTAGGTGACAGAAGCTGTTTTCACTTGTATTTTTCATGAAATTACTCACAGATGAGAAAAAAATAGCTCAGAAATATAAGCCCACAAGGTAGTGTGGAGGGATGGTGACTACTGGTGGAGACACAGTCACTTGGGGTGACGAAATCACTACCCCACAGCGTATTTGGGGCTGCCAAGCCCTCCTCCATCCATGCAGGCCCAGAGTGAAAGTGTAGGAGTCGCCTGGGGTACGGGAGGGGACGGGAAGGCAGAGGCCCTGCCCCTCTGCTGCCACCCTTGGGGCAAACCCAGGGATGGGTTTGTCTGGAAATGTAAGCACATTGAACCAGCCTTGTTTCCAAGCAGTAGAAGGAACTAGAGCATTGGGGGAACTCCTAAGTAACTAGCCCACTAGAGCAGGAAGAGGACTCTGGGGCTTCAAGAATCCAACCGGCTGGTGCACAGTTTTTCTATTTTGCCAGATTATTCTTCCATATAGTGTGTCACTAAGCTTATTAACAAATATTCACAAATGACCTTGCTTAGAATACAAAGGGGTGTCCTTGTTGTCTTGTGTATTGTGTGTGTGTGTTGTCTATTTTAAGTCTTCAGAACCCATCAGGAACTCAAGCTCCTTGGAAGTTCTCATTTTCTTTCCAGACATGCCTCTATTCCCCAGTACCCAGTTCCTTTAACCTCTACTCTTTTTGTTTTTTGTTTTCTTTTTCTTTTAAAGTCATCTCTTTCCTCTCCCTTGACTCCCATTCCACCTGTATTGTTCTTTTTTCGTCTATTATGCTGTGTACTTGCCCTTCTTCCTTCTCCTTTCCCATTCTGTGCTCACCTGCTACATCTCATGAACTCAGAGATTATCCTCTAAATACCATGGGCATCACCACCTGTTTAGTGGCAAGTGTTACTCCCACCCTGGCTTGGAAGATGACATTTTCCAGAGTATTCCCCATAGAGGCTGACAGGTCTGGCCCAGATAATTCTACCAGTTAAAAGAACCCTGGCTCAGGACCCATGGGTCTCACCAGTCATTATCCTGTATTGGAAAGCAAAACTGATTTGACAGCTTCATTAGATTACAATCAGCTCAAATCTTCCCTTCTGCCTTCTCAGAGCATAACATCTGTCCTCAGGAGTGGCAGAAGGGAGAAAACCACTTCTCCTCCCCAGCTTTCTGTACTTCTTCGAGGCTCTTGGCTCAAATTAAATATTTACTCTGTTAGAGCAGAGAATGGCTCATTGGCCACCATGTCAATCACCTGAAGTGGGTTTCTAATTTGTTTTGGAAGCTGGTTGAGGGGCTCCAGGAGAGCATCTACCATCTTAAGAGTACAGCTCCAGGGTACAGCTTGTAT